GGTCGAAGGTCCATTGGAGGTAGGAGCCGAGGGTCGAGAGGTTGATGCAGAGGTTGTAGGCGCGGCTGTTGGTTAGGGTCGGTGAGGGGCAGGTGGCGGAGTGTGACGGTGGGAGTAGGGAAACCGCGGCCGCCAATAGGAGAGCGGCGATGGATAGAGATGAGGGCGCCATTGCTGAAGAGAGAGAAGTTGTTAGAGAGAGTGATTGTGGCGGACGGAGCAAAATTCCGGTGAAATCTCTGTTGGGGAAGATATATAGACGGACGCAGTGGCGATTGGGAGTGTGATTTTAAAGGTTGTGTTTGGCAGCCAACCAAAAAAAAAAAATGTATTTTTTGGACTATCTTTTCAAAAAAAAAACAAAAAAAGGAGAGAGAAAGAGTAATTGCAATTTATTATAGTTTCAATATCTCAACTTTTTCGTTCTCTTTAAATTGTGTTTTTTATTTTCGTCACTATATTTGTAAAATGGCCATTTTCATACAAAAGATACGAAATTTGAACATTTTTCTTGCAAAATATAAAAGACATTTTTGTAACGTTTTTGTAAATATACGGGACGAAAATAAAAAATGCAAAACAAAAAAATTAGAGTAGTGAAACATACAAGACTAAAATTACAATTTACTAAAAAAATATTTTTTATTCTTTTAGTAAATAAAAGTGTAAAGAAGTGTGACTGGACTTAAATACTTCTGAAAAGAAAAATAATCGAAAAAATGAATATGATAAATGGGAAAAAAAATATAGATATTTTGCTCGAAAAGCAAAATAATTTTGAGATTTCAATGGATATATGATAAAATGCGATATTACAAATTGATGTGATAGAAAAATAGTAAAAATGAATATAAATGTCTGATAGTAAATTTTTAGTAAATGACTGATAATTTTATTTATAATTATTTATTTCATATTTTGACCTCTTAATTGTAAACCGATTAAATATTTTTCTAAACCAAGTATTTTGTTGGACTATTTAATTTTTGGATGTTGATTTTTCTATATAATTATGGTAATTACATAATTTTAACATTGTTAGTTATCTTTTCTAATAATATGGTCTTCCATAAGTTTTTGTCAACCAACAAAAGATATGCAACGTGCTGCGAAAATTCAATTAAAACAAATATAAGTAAATTGTAT